GCCAAGCGCGGCCCCAGGACCGCAGTACTAACCTTCATGCAAGTCTGGGCCTCGCGTACGAGAGGGAAATTTTTGGTGGAAAAATCGCTAACTCAAGAATCAGACAAGCTAGAAAGGTGAAATTTTGAGGTTATGTCCTCCGTCTTCATAAAACTAAAAGAGTTCAAACTCAGCCCCCACGTGTATGTGGTTCCCGCATATGGTCCCATGATGGTTCTTGGCGCGAAAATCAATAACTCGGAAACCAGGAAAGCTGGGGAGCTGAAATTTCCAGGGAATGTTCCCAGCTTAAGTACAACCTGAACTTATCAAATCCAACCTCTAAGTATTTGTGGTGCTCAAATGCGCCTCAGTGAAAATTTTTGGCGGGAAAATGGCTAACTCGGGAACCAGGAAAGCTAGGAGACTGAAATTTTCAGAGAATGTTTTTAGCAAATGTACAGCTTAAATTTAACAAATTCAGCTTCGGAACATGCGTGGTTCTCACGTATGATCCGTGAAAATTTTTGGCGAGAAAACGGCTGACTCCGGAACCAGGAAAGCTGGGAGGCTGGAATTTTCAGGGAACGTTTCCAGCTCAAGTACGACTTAAATTTATCCAACTCATCCCCGGTGCATGAGTGATTGTCACGTACAGCCATGTGAAAATTTTTGGCAGGAAAATTGTTAACTCGAAAATTTGGGAAGCTGAAATTTTAATGAAATGTTCCCTGTCCAAATATCCATAGACAATTAGCTTCCCGGACTTCGAGAACCAGCATACTACATATTTCTAGCTACAATGTTTTCGAGCGATCTCACTAGAACACAAAATTTGAAAAAACGCCTGATCGCACGGGCCGGCCCGGTGTGCATCGACAATGATTAAAAACTGTGTTTCGCATACTGCGCCTACATTACGAGTACGGGCACATAAAAAATATTTTTGGCGAATCAGACAAGATTTTGTGATTGGACCATTGATTGGTTTCGAAATGAAAGTGTCTTCGAAATCGTTTTTGACGAGTGATTTCACGAATCAGTCAAGTTAGGAAATCAAAATTTTACAAGGGTGTTTTTGTCCGTGGCTTGAAGATTCTGAATTTAGCTTTGAAATACGCCTGCATTTCGCGTGTGTGCAAGTGAAAGTTTAATTTGGACCAGTATCGGCACCATTTTAACTGAAAAACAGATTAGTTAGAAGACTGTGTTGTTATAATGTTTGCTGTTCACATTTGGAACCGTTAACGCAGAATGATTTTATCCACAAACGCAAAATGATTTTTCGCCTACGGCTGTGTCTCCAGTTCTGACAACTCAAGTGTTCAATTTGCAAAATTGTCGGCATCTTTGTCCGTCTAAAATCGGAAAGGCCAGAAAGTTAAAATGAGGCGATGACATTATCTGTCCGTATGGAGCTACAAAATCATAAAATAGCTTCTACATCCCCTATACGACATTTTTTAGGTTATAAAAGTGTCGCATCATTCTAACTCCAAAATCAGACTCAGTAAAAAGCTGTGCTGTTGGTCTGAGTCACATGTTCGACAGATCTGAGTGATTTAATTTGCAGTGATTGACCTTAATGAGTGCACAAGTTAAACGTAAAGCAACAACCGTTCATTACAATTAGCAACACAACTGCTTCAATTTTAGGACAAAAACGTATAATCG